CTCAGTATTTTATTTCTTCTGCCCCGCTCCCCATTCCCTTCTTCCTTTCCTCTAAATCCCTCCCCTAACCCCCATCCCTATTCCCAGCACCCTACACTCCCCCTCCCCTCCTCTGTTTCTGTTTAGAAAAGGGCCGGTCTCCCAGGAGTATCTACAAAACTTGGCCTATCAAGTTGCAGTAAGACTAAGCAGCTCCCCTTGTATTAAGGCTGGGCAAGGTGACGCAGTAGGAGTTGGGTCCCAAAAGATAGTAAAAGAGTCTTAGACAGCTGCTGTTCCCACTGTTGTGGACCCCACAAGAGGACCAAGCTACACAGCTGTAACATATATGCAGAGGCCTAGGTTCCTCCCACGCAGGCTCCCTGGTTGTCAGCTCAGTCTCTGTGAGCCCTAAAGAGCCAAGGTTAGTTGATCCTGTCAGTTTTCTTGTAGTGTCCTTGATCTGTCTTCCTCTTAGAATCTTTCTCCTCGCCTTCTGCAGGATTCCCCGAGTTCTGCCTAATGTTTGGTTGTGGGTCTTCATCTGTTTCCATCAGTTGCTGGGCAAAGCCTGAACCCAGAGATATGGTTAAAAAATGCTAATTTTTCTAAAATTAAAAAAAATAATAATACAGTGGCCCTTATGATATCCTGCCACACTCAGATCATTGCTTTATTTGGCTATCATCATAGAATGTTCCTCCTGCAGCATATGGAAACAAATATAGAGACCCACAGCGAGACATTACGCAGAGACACTTCGGAACACAGCGCTCTTAACAGGCTATCTTTATCATCCCTCCCTGTAGAACTCAAGGTACCCCATGGAAGGGGAAAAAGAAAGAGTGTAAGAGTCAAGGGTATGGAGGAAACAAGGATAACAAGGCCCTGTAAATCAACTGAACAAAGGTAATAAGAACTCATAAAAACTGAATCAGCAAGCACAGGGCATACAAGGGTCTGCACCAGGTCCACTGTGTATATATGTGTTTCCCAGCTCAGTATTCTTATGGGACTCTGAGTGTGTGAATGAATAGAGTCTTGTGCCTTCTTTTGGGCCTATTTTCCTTCTGTTTGCTTGCCTTGTCCAACTTTGATGTGGTTTTGTTTTAGCTTATTATATTTTACTATTTCACTTGCTAAATCTTTTATTTTATTTAAAGTAAACAACATGACAAACAACCAGAAAAGGGGTTATGCATCTATTTACACTGATCTTTTCCCCCTTGTATTAAAAACAGATTCATTCCTCATATTCAATATATTGATACTCTTTAACATACTATAATTAATTTTTATTATAATATGAGGAAAGTCCAAATGTTTCTATTAAAACTGTTTATAGGGTATATAATTGTGCAGATGAATTTTATCATCTTTTTCATCATGTATATCATATACTTTGTTTAAATTTACCAAAAGTATTTCTAAAAACATGAAAACAAGTAATTTTCAAAATGCAATAATACTTCAGGATCTTATGCTTTATAGTATAATATTGTATGATAATCTTAAAACTATTAATTTTATATCCTTATCTGCTTGTGACATGACCAAAAGTGGTAGGTAGTGATGATTTTTGTTTATGAACTGGAAGGCATAACTACAAGGTAGAAATTATTGTGTACCTTTGAATGCTCATTACTACAGATCAGTATTCCCCATGGTCACTGCCCTTCTTCTGCTCAGACTGTAATGACTTTCATCTTTATCCCTGTTGGATAAAATGTCATCAGTCACAAACATACTTCAATTTAGTTCTGCTTAAAAGAAGAAAACATTAAGCAAGTGATTTGCTAAAGCTATTAAATCATTAAGGCTTAATAATTTGAATCTAGTCATGTTGTTTGTGAGATGTAATGTTTAAGAATTATGAATAAAATCACATCACATATAAATGTTTTAAGACATGTAAGGTTGAATCTCATAGCACAGATTTTCAGTATATAAAATACTGCTATGAAACTTTAAGATTAAACATAAAGAACATGAGCTACTACAAAGGTTAATGCTTTCCATGAGATACCTGTGATGAGTCAGGTACTGTAATGATATATTGGGTACCCTAATAAACTTGCCTGAGGATCGGGGCCCAGAGCCAGCCACTAGATTAGACATAGAGGCCAGACAGTGGTAGCACACACCCTTCATCCTATCACTCAGGAGGCAGAAATTTGTATGGATCTCTATGAGTTCAAGGCCACACTGGAAACAGAGCCAGGCAGTGGTGGCACACACCTTTAATCCCAGTACCAGGAAGCACACACGCCTTTATTCCCCAGAAGTGATGGCAGGGCAGAGAAAGGTATATAAAGCGTGAGGAAACATGGACTAAAACAGTTCAGCTGAGATCCTTTCAGGTGAGGACTCAGAGTCTTTCAGTCTGAGGAAACAGGATCAATTGAGGAGTTGGCTTTGGCTTTCTCTGCTTCTCTGATCTTTCAGCATTCACTCCAATATCTGGTTCCAGGTTTTTTATTAATAAGACCATCTAAGACTTGAACAACAGGTACTAATCAGAATAGTGCAGATCAAAGATAAGTAAATACATTCAGTTCCTTTATGGTCACAAAAAGTTTAGAGAGAGAATACCAACATATACTTGCATGTACTTCTTATACTATTTAACACCTATTACAGTAGTTATTAAAATAAAAGTATTAATGAAAATAGAGGTTACGAATTTGAAAGAAAGAAAGGATATATACATATATTGCCACACATATGTATGTATGTAAGGGAATTTGGAGGGAGAAAGGGAAGAAAGAATGATGTAAATATAGTCTCAAAAAGAGGGATAATTAAAAATAAATATATAAGAAGTCTAAGTTATGACATTAACAATATTGCTTGAAGTGTCCACGGAAGGAAAATGAGATTGCAAAGATGAGACTGTCCCAAGAGACAAAAGGAAATAAGAATCGAAGGAGGGGGCGGATCGTACTTAGCAGGTGTGGTCTTTTGAATTAGGAATCTCCTTTGTGTTCTGGAACACTAGAACACTTGGGCATGAGCTGGGGCGCTGTGGGAGGACATTTGCATCTCGACATCTTACTGTAGGATGTGTCACCGCATTGGCAAAAGACCTTGACTTTCAAATCCTCACTCCACTTGTGTTGGTTCTCTGCTATGCTCTTGCTCCTGAAGATGTAAAGTCTGCTGTTGCTGCCCTGCCTGCAGCATGGTACAGGGTTTCCGGCCATAATGCATTCTAATCCCCTGGGAACCTTCAACCCACATAAAATCTTTCGTGTGCGTGCTGGCTTGTATATGCTGATTTATTGCAGCGGCGGAATAGTAACCAGTAAAATGGGGACTGGTGGATAAAGAACTTTCAGCAGTATAAAAATCAGGGGCAGAATTTATTCCAGGGTGAAAGAGAATAGAAAAAGGAAGCTCTGTAGAATTTGGCAGAATGCAATATAACATGAGAAAGGTTTGTTGGGGTACACTATATGGACATCATATTTCATGCCATTATATTTATAATCCATACTGTATCTAATGAAGAGAATATTTGGAAATTTTAATTAGTTATTGCTTCCTTTACAGCTCTATTTCTTCAAAGAAGGAATTCTTTCTCACAAAAGGAATTAATAATTATCCATCTTCTTCGAAATTCTCTTTTAAGTTGATAACCTTTTCTAGCTCCATGGTAGCTATTTGCTTGTTTATTTTGTGGAATTGTAACATAATCTCCAAGACTGCATGAGTTATCAATAATAGATTCTTCTTGTACCTAGAAGTGTAGAGGTTGATGTGACTAACAACAAAGTATTGTGAGACTTTCTTGTGTGCTGAGGATTATTGAGTGGTCACGGGTTGTTGAATTGTATATAAGGGTAGAACTCTGTCTCCTCCTCTGGAGAAAGAGAAAGCAGGAGTGTCAATAGCCAAACTCTCTGTTTCAAATACCACTTCCATAAAATACCTAATTGCATACATGAGGTCGTATCTCCTAATGTTTTTGCACTGAATAATGTCAGCCTGAAGTCTGGAGGGAATACCCAAACGATAATTCTGTCTATGTTTACATAATGGTTACATCTAAACACCTATAGCAGTATCATACCTGAAAGACAAATGATGTATGTTTAGTATTTTTTTTGCAATAGTATAAAAATGGTCTAATAATTTTGTTGAAAATAATCTCATTAACTTTAATTCTCAAATTGGTTTATTTGTGATACTTCAGTTTTAAGAAATACTATCAACATATAAATGCACACACACACACACACACACACACACACACACACAAATACACTCACTTAAACTAACTCATAGCACCCCAAATGAAAAATAAGAATACAACATGTAATTGCTTTTATTAAAACAGATTCTTTCCTTCCTTCCTCCCTCCCTCCCTCCCTTCCTCCCTCCCTCCCTCCCTCCCTCCCTATGGGTGTTTTGTCTGCATGTATGTCTGAGTATCATATAAATGCTAAGCTTCCTTGAAGACTAGGAGAGTGTTAGATCCTTGGGGACTGGAGTTACAGATAGTTATGAGTCACTATGGGGTTGTTTGTATTTGAACCCTGGTCTTTTGGATGACAAGCCGGTTCTCATAACTGCTGGGCCATCTCTCCATTCTCAGCATTTGCTCTTTATCCAAAATCTTTATAACGTCCTCATATCCAAACAAGTTTTAATGATATTCTTTATCCAAGAACTATACTCTTACTATATTTGTTCCAGTGATGACCATTTCAGCTGCCCAATGAGTCTCTTATCTAATTTCATTGCTTTTTTTTTTCATACATTGCTTCCTCAAATATTCATGGTGTAGTAAAGCAGAATGCTGTGTTATCATTTTATTCAAATGGCTTTTTCTCTTGTTCATTACACTTAAGCCACTGTGTTCTTCAGGCTTTAATGTTCTCAAAAAGTTATCTCCATATCTCACTATTCAAATTTTGTCAGTAACTACACTCAATGGCCTTCCAGGCCTTGTTATGTCCTTCCTTTGTACTCAGTTATATGTCCATCTCTTGTTCTTTTTGAGACAGGACCACACTGTGTAGCCTGTCCTGGCCTTCAAGTCATCACGAAATTGCCACCACTTTCCAGGAATTAAGACACCACATGTGTGTCTCTGTCTATGCCTAGTTTTCAATAGCTACTTTCAGAGTCATGCCTGAAATGATCAATCAAAAGTCCAGCCATTTTATTTCCTTATCTAGCCATTTTTCAAGAAACACTCAAACCGTCCTTTTATCTTCACTACTTTATTACTATTATCTAATTTTACTGTTGTGGTGGTATTGTGTTCCCCAAAATATTGTGCACCCTCATAAACTTGTCTGGGGTCAAAGACAGAACAGCCACTAGATACAAAGGCTAGAAAATGGTGGCACTCCTACCTTTTATCCTAGCATTCCAGAGACAGAAATCCCTCTGGATCTCTGTGAGTTCAAAGTCACATTGGAAACAGCCAGGCATAGTGACACATGCCTTTAATCCCAGAAAGCCAGCCTTTAATCCCAGGGAGTGATGGCAGAAAACAAAAAGATATATAAGGCGTGAGGACCAGAAACTAGAAGCTTTTAGCTGGTTAAGCTTTTAGGTTTTGAGCAGCACAGTTCAGTTGAGAGCCATTTGGATATGAGGACACAGAGGCTTCCATTCTGAGGAAACAAAATCAGCTGAGAAGTTGGCCAGGTGAGGTTAGCTGTGGCTTGTTCTGTCTCTCTGATCTTCCAGTGTTCACCCCAATATTTGGCTCCGGGTTTGTTTTATTAATAAAGACTCTTTAAGATTCATGCTACATACTGTGTTTAGAATTTGCCATACCAAGTAAGTTTTTGAAGATTAACAACTTAATAAGAGGTTTTTTGTTTTATTATTATATTCTATTATTAGATGACCTCTTTGTCTGTCTTTCTATATTGGGGCTTAAATTATCCTATCTTCATGCAATATGGGATCTGGTCTTAGAATGACAATATTAGGTAAGCAAAGATATAGACCCAGGATCGCTCATAGAAAATTAAAGCTGCAGTAAAATCTAAGAGAGCACATGAGTGTTCACACAGAGCAAGTACAGGTAGAGACTAAGTCACTGATTGTCTTTTGTGATGCCCAAATTAGATAAGTAGTCATAAAACATGTGTGTGTGTGTGTGTGTGTGTGTGTGTATGTGTGTATGTGTGAAACAAGGTATCAACAAGGAAGCTAGGAATAACTCTAAAGAAAAAAACAGCTACACTAATTTTTGTTCCTTTGCCTTTCTGCATGTCAAATACAAATACAATATCCCATGAGGCATAGAATTTATATAACCAGAAATTCTCAGCTTCCCTAATGGAAACAATTAATAAGTTATAAATGAGAGTCTATTTTGTTCAATGTTCCATTACTTTAACAAAAATGCTTCACAAACCAACTTAGAAAAGGACATATTTATTTGGGCTCGGGGTTTCAGAGATTTCAATCTTTGAGTAGGTGGTGGCATATTTGTCTTGGCTTAAGGTGAGGCAGGCTATCATGGAGGGCAGCAAGTGTGGAATAAGGCTGACTACATATAGGACAAGAGGTGGAGAAAAGAGAGAGTATGAGTTAAAGCCAAATAGAGAAGGTTTATGGGGATCCAAAATCTGGAATTCGATATAGATATCAAAGACTCAATATAAAAGAGGCATCCTTGCTCCATCAAAGCCAATATTCTACTATTTCTGTATCTTTCCAATTGTGTTACCACCTAGTTACTGTAGTTTAGCTCAACAGTTTTTAGGGGCATATTCTAAATATAGACTACAACACAGACCAAGTAGTTTTATGACCTCCTTGATGAAATATTGTTCACAGGAATCCTGAAATGTTGCTGTTATTGATCTCTTTTGGACTTTTACCTGGAAGAAAAGTTTCTTTAAATATGTCTCATGAATTTGTAACTACAAATTTTTAAATTTAAACTGCAAACAAACCTGTCTGTGATTCTGGTAGCTAACAAATGTATCTCAGATGCTCTATACCTTTTGTCCATTCAAACACTGAGGTATCATCCTTGTCACAAGCATACATTGCAGCAGTAAGATTCTCTCAGCTTCCATTAAAAATAAAACCAGTCATTAAACACGGAAACCCCTCACTTGCCTTAATTGCTGTACTTACATGATTTCCCATTATGTTTGGCTGTCCAGAGAGTGTTGCTGATGGAGGACTTCCTCTTTATGTCTGCTCATCATCTATTCTGAAACTAATTTCAGTTTGTAGGGAAAAATGGCAGTTATACAGCTTGGTTCTCAGCCAGAACAGTTTAGAAGACTGTCAAATAATCCATCCCTAACAAACTTGTATAACTGTGCATCTACGTAATTTGGAATAGTTTAAATATCATGGGTGAAATTTTTGGCTTATTTACTCAAATAAAAAGTTATAAACAGGTTCTACTACATTCTTAGCCCCATGCTTTAACACTTTTCAATAACTGATTTTCCTTTATATTTGAAAACAACCAAGTTATTTTCAAGTTACTCACATAAAAATGTGTCATTATTTATATCTTCAAATTCTAAAAGTTCATATTTTCATATTTCAAAAGCTATACAATGATATTACAGTATTGAAAACTGAATTCACATATATTATCTGGGTCTCATCTGTCAATTATCTATTTATATATTTGAGTCTATAAAGATACCTTTTTGCAGTGTTTAGCATTAGTCTTAGCACTTTCATCTGCTGGATAATTGCTAAAGAATGTACCCCTGAGGTACATTTTCAGCCAACATCTCTTGTTTTTGTTTTGTATTGTATATAGCCATGTCTTGATATCTTAGTCATACACTTCTACGAAATTAGTGTACACTTCATTTTACTAAGGAGTATTAGGTCTTACATGATTATAACAGATAATACTCGAAAAATACACAATGCTTCTTTAGTAGCAATATATTTTGTTATGCCTGTAGAGAGACTATGGGTACATGACACAGTAGATCTAACTTTGGGGGGTGGGCATCCAAGTTACTGAGTGCATCTGAGGTACGTGAGCAATATCAATCTATCTCATCTGTCTATCTCTCTTTCTATGTGTGTATGTTTTAGTTCAGCACTTGTGTACATGTTGTGTTTATCTAAGTTCTTCTATTAACAATAAAGACTCGGGAGTCAGATATTGGGGTAAAAACCTGATAGATCAGTGAAGCAGCAGAGGAGTGACCAGCTGTCCTTCTCTCCATGCTTCCCAGATCGGAGTCTGCAAAAATCTCCAAGTCCCTCCCTAATTCTTTCTTTGTGTCTTCTCTATTCATATTCCTGGCTTCTGTATGACTAATTCCGGTCAGCTGGGAGATGGCTCCTCTCCCTAATTCAAGTGAAACTTTATTAACATAGTCTTGGGAAGTCATAGTATGACCAAATATTCTACAATACATACATGTGCACATGAAGGGAAGAGGTTGATCAAGTGTCTTTCTTGCATACTCTCTTATTTATTGACAAGGCATCTTGTTGAACCTGGAGTATATCAACTTAGCTCAAATGGCTGGACAACAAACCCTCCTGTATCTATCTCCCTAGTGACTCCAACATTATGACATCATACCCAGTATGTTTATATAGTTCTGAAGAAACAAATTTAGGTCCTCACACTTGCACTAATTGATAGATCCATCTCCCAAGTCCAATGTCAAACTTTTGGACAACATTGAACTAGCAATCCCCAAGAATAAATGATATAGAAATTCCCCTCCACGAATTAGGATCATTAGTGGAGGAATGATTGTCTTGATTTTCAAAGTAATGATATAAGTACGTAGTAACTTTTCCTGAAATATAGAACAAGAATTAAAGAGATTGTAGTATTTGTAAACTCTTAGTATAGTATGATGTTTTACTTATGTTTTCTATGAGATGTTCATGTTCCTTTGCCCCTATAAGCACATATAAAGTCTTTATGTTTTCTTTTGACACTGTTTAAGACAAAGTTGCTTAGGCTATCCTGTGTTAACTCAGGTATGAAGAGTGTTTTTGGTAGCCATACTCAACAAAATTGCAAGAACATAATACATATTGATTATTGAAAAATGTGAAAACATGCAATTACCTGGAAATAGAATAATCTAATTGGAGAGAGTATAAGAAAAAAATGAAATATTTGGAATTCCTAACATGTGTTGTACTATTCAATGAAGCAGAAAAATGATATTGTTTATTTACTAAAACAATCCATGTAAGTGGACTGAGTTTTTATAAAATAAACATTAGCAAACATTTACTTTATATTTTTCTGGCTACAACAGTCATTCTAACTTTATCACACTACAAAATCACTAACAGCAGTCACACATGATCAGAAACCAATTTACACATCTGAAAGAAAATAAAGAAGCCAAAACTGTACAATGGAAAAAAGAAAGCATCTTCAAAAAATTGTATTGGCATAACTGGATGTCAACATGTAGAGGCTGCAAATAGATCCATATCTGTCACCATGCACAAAATTTAAGTCCAAGTGGATCAAAGCCCTCAACATAAATCCAGTTACTCTGAACCTGATAGAAGAGAAAGTAGGAGAGTCTTGAACACATTGGCACAGGATATCACTTTCTAAATATAACACCAGTAGCACAGACCCTGAGAGAAACAAAAAATCAATTGGAACTTTTGATTAGAAGCTTTTGCAGAGAAAAGGACACAGTCAACAAGACAAAGCAACAGCCTACAGAATGGGAAAAGATCTTCACCAACCCCACTACAGAGGGCTGATATCCAGAATATATAAAGAACTCAAGAAATTAGACATCAAAATGTCCAGCTGTCCAATTAAGAAATGGGTTATAGAGCTAAACAGAGAATTCTCAACAGAGGAAGCTCAAAGACATTTAAGGAATTGCTCAACATTTCTAATCATCAGGGAAATGCAAATCAAAATGACCCTGAGATACCACCTTACACCAGTCAGAATGGCTAAGATCAAAAACACTGAAGACACCTTATGCTGCAGAGGATGTGGAGCAAGGGGAACTCTCCTCCACTGTTAGTGAGAATGCAAGACTGTACAGCCACTTTGGAAATCAATATGGTGGTTTCTCAGAAAATTGGGAATCAATCTCCCTCAAGACCCAGCTATATCACTCTTGGGCATATTCCCAAGGAATTCTCAGTCATACCACAAGGGCACATGCTCATCTATGTTCATAGCAGCATTGTTTTTAATAGCCAGAACCTGGAAACAACCTAGATGCCCTTCAACTGAAGAATGGATAAATAAAATGTGGTATATATACACAATGGAATACTACTCAGTAGAGAAAAACAATGACATAATGTTTTCAGACAAACGGATGGATCTAGAAAAAATCATCCTGAGTGAGGTAACCCAGACTCAGAAAGAGAAACATGGTATGTACTCACTCATAGGTGGATACTAGATGTAAAACAAAGGATGATTAGACTGCTACTCACAACTCCAGAGAGGCTACCTAGTAAAGAGGACCCTAAGAAAGATCACCCAAGGACAGAGAAATGGATGAGATCTATATGAGCAAACTGGATGTGAGAGGGTGGGGTAATGAAGGGCAAGGGTGGAGGGAAAGAGAGTTTAGGGGAGGGGGAGATCCCAGCTGAATCAAGAACAGAGAGGTTAGAACAAGGAAAGAGAGACCATGATAAATGAAGACCCCATAGGAATAGGAAGAAGCAAAGTGCTTGAAAGGTCCCCAGAAATCCACAAAGATACCCCCACAATAGACTACTGGCAATGGTCGAGAGAAAGTCCGAACTGACCTACTCTGGTGATTGGATGGCCAAACACCCTAACTGTCATGGTAGAGCTCTCATCCAATGACTGATGGAAGCAGATGCAGAGATCCACAGCCAAGCACCTGGCCGAGCTCCAGGAGTTCAGCTGAAGACAGAAAAGAAGAATTCTATGAGCCAGGGCATTAAGATCATGATGGAAACATATAGACATTTCTTACATTAGTTTGTTTGTCTTATGTTTTAGGAGAAAGAATGAGGTCAAAATAATATAGTGTTTTAGAAATCCAGAGCTTAGTCCGGCTTGAGAGCAGACACTTATAATCTTAATTTGGAACACTGAGGTAGGGAGATAACAGATAATATGAAGTCAGCTTGGTTTGCTTTGGAAGATCCTGTACCAAACAAAAACAAATAAATAGATGGATAGATATACCGACAGACAGATAGACAGACAGACAGACAGACAGATAGATAGATAAACAATTAAAACAAAAACCAAAACTAAAAGAAAATGTTTTTCTTTCTTCTCTCTCAATGAGAGAGAAGAAAGAAAAACATTTAGTACAAGTGTACAAAGCTGTTGCCTCACTTGTCAAAAAATAGTTAAAACTCCCAAATTTATAAGACAAATTTTCTTGAATGAATGAAGTAGTCTGAACTGCTCCTACAATTCAGTCCTCAAGTTTTGAGCTACTTTACTGTGATAGACAGTTGTTTGGTCTACTTAACCCAAGCTATAATCTTCTGAAAAGGAAGAACTTCATTTCTGAACATGCTTCCATCATATAGGGCAGTGGGTAAATTTATGGGTGTGTTTCTTGACTGATGATTGATATAGGTAGGTACAGAGTATGGTGGGCTGTGCAAGGCCTTGGCAGGTGGTCCTGTGCTCTAAAATAAGGCAGGCTGAGAAAGACATGAAAATCATGCCTGTAAATGATGTTCATCCTTGCCTCTGCTTTAGTTTCTGCCTCCAAGTCCCTGCCTTGAGCTCCTGCTGTGACTTCCCTTCATCACTGAGAGTATTCTATAAAGTGAAATTAACCATTTCTTTCTCACGTTGTTTGACATGTTGTTTTATCACAGCAATAAAAAGCAAACTAATGCAAAAATTAGTGCCAGGATTTTGTTATAGTGCTGTGAAAGGCCGGGCCACATTGATATTGGAAGATTGTGAAGAATTTTGAAACTTTGGTACTGAAAATCTGTTAGGTTTATGGAGCTTACCAGCCTCTTGCAGAAGCTTGGAAGATAATATTGAGAGCAATGTAGACAATGGAGACCTGGTTTGTAAAATTTCAGAAACAGGGGAGTGCCTCAGAGGATCCTTCAGAGCCATTTATTTGATTCTTTAATTAATAACATGTAATTTCTTCTCAGATGGAGCTGTAGAATAAGCTGGAATTAAGACAAAACCAGGATCATTGAGGTGAAATCTTCTAGGAAATATTTTCTGTGGATCAGCACACAGAAGTCTGGGCCTGGTATCTATCTTAACCTAGTAGCCAAACATTATAATGTGTTGTGGTACCAGTTTTAGCAGAATTGCTAAATTCAATTGCATGGTTGAAGAGAAAATGGAGAGAAATTAAAGGTTGTCACTGTGGGAGGGCAGGAGATGCCACTGGTAAAGTTGAGCCTTATCTGCAGTAGAAATCCCAGGATTGAGAAGTCATTAGAAAAAGTTGAAGCTTGGTACCAAGTGGCATGATCAAGTCCTTGAATAGAACCCAGTGAAGGCTATTGGTAAAGACTCACTGAGTTACTTTCCACCTCCCCTCCCCTCCCCTCCAGCCCCACTCTCTTTCTGTCTCTTGTTAGAAAAGAACAGGCTTTATTATCTTCATGAATTTATTTTTTAAGATAATGAAGCCTGAAATTTCTAAGGAGAAACAGAAAGAATGCAGACATCATAACAAAGCATTGGACCAAGCTCATGGAGTTTAGTTGAAAAGAGGGATGAAGGATTCCATGAGCAAGGAGGGGGGCATCAAGATCATGATGGGGAAAACCAGAGACAGCTTACCCCACCTAGCTGGAGCTCAGCGACTCTGAACTGACAGCTGGGGAAAGTGCATAGGACTAACTAGGCTCTCTGAATGTGGGTAACAGTTCTGTGGCTTGGGCAGTTTGTGGGTCTCCTGGCAGTGGGACCAGGATCCCCCCCCTTCACTCTCTCTCTCTCTCTCTCTCTCTCTCTCTATATATATATATATATATATATATATATATATATGTATGTATACCTTGCTCAGCCTTGATACAGAGGGTATCAGCTTGGTCTTGCCTCAACTTGATATGCCAGACTTGGTTGACTCCCCAATGGGAGGCCTTAACCTCTCTGAGGAGAGAATGGGAGGAGAGGCAGGGCACAGAGAGCAGGAGGAGGGGACAGAGGGAGAGCTGTGGTTGGTATGTAAAATGAAAAAAACATTTAAATAAAAAATTAATTAATTGATCCAAAAAAAGAATGCAGGATTTTAAGAGATAACAGCCAAACTTGACAAAATTAAATATAATAAGACGAGGAAAAAAACTTTTTTATCATAGTTGCACAGTGTAACCTAACAGGAAGCAAAGAGTTCCAAGGGTAGGCAAAAGAGCCAGAGACCCACTCATTCTTACAGTCAGGAGTCCTACAAAAATACTAAACTAGCTGAGTGATGGTAACGCATGCCT